CCCAATAATGACGCCCAGCGATCGGCCACCCCACCTCCACTTCCACCTCTACCCTTCCCATGCACCTCCTCCCCACCACCCTCCCCCAATTTTCTTTTAATTTCCCTTCCTCAGGTTCTTTGCGACATTTTCACAAACATCCAAACGGCATCCCGTCGACGTACTTCCCATTTATTATATTTTTCTTAATGTGGGACTTTGAGCTCGTTTTCAACAAGAATCGTATCCCAACGTTGCTAACATTATCTATTTGGTTGTCTTCTTCTTTTTTCTTTATAATCTATCCATGAAATGAAGAACAGGGGAAGAAGTAACAGTGGTTCTGTAATTGGGTTTGGGGGTTTTTTGGGTTTTTCATGGCGGCTTGTAATTTGCTAGGTGACTACGACAACTCTCTTAGCGTGAATGGCATAGAGATTGGTATCCTCAAAGAGCCCCACGAGATACGCCTCGGCAGCCTCCTAAAGAGCAACGACTGCACTGCTTTGGAACCTAAGATCGGTCTTGAAATCCTAAGCGATCTCTCGCACAAGGCTCTGGAACAGAAGCTTTCGGATCAAGAGCTCAGTACTCTTCTGGTACTTCCTGATCTCTCTCAGAGCCACAGTTCCCGGCTTGAAACGGTGAGGCTTTTTCACTCCTCCAGTGGCCGGTGCTGATTTACGAGCAGCCTTGGCGGCAAGCTGCTTCCTCGGCGCCTTGCCTCCGGTCGACTTCCTGGCTGTTTGCTTAGTACGAGCCATCTCAGGGAACAACAGTGAGATTCTAAGGAATTTTAGGAGAGGGGGGAAGCAGGAACTTTCGAAATTTGCGGCGCTTCTCATCACCGTCGGTGAGAAGAGAGAGTGCAGACCAAATTCAATTCAAAATTGAAATTCAGGGGTTTTATAGGATGAAATTGAAATACACATATTTTACTCTTAGGAATTACATTGTTAAAATACATGTATTTCATCTAAATTTAATTACATTTTATTTAGGTAAAAACAAACAATGAAATTGAATTTGAGCACTCCAAATTCAAATAGGCAAAATACCCAAATCCACCTTCAAAGTATAGTGGCAGGGACGGATCCACCCTCGAACAAAAAACAGAGATAAATCCACCTATAAAGTTTTCGACTTAGACAAATCATCCCAAATTTAACGTGTGACGTCATTTGACATCAGTAATTCGTTAATTTGTTAACGGATTGCTGACGTCAGATGACGTCAAATTAACAAATTGTTAATGTCAAATGACGTCACACGTTAAATTTGGGGTGATTTGTCCAAATTGAAAACTTTGTGGGTAGATTTGTCCCCCTTTTTTGTTCGAGAGTGGATCCGTCCCTACCACTATACTTTAGGGTTGGATTTGGGTATTCTGCCATTCAAATACACACTGCAAAATTCAAGTTGCCAAACAGAGTATGAAGGATTTTATCCTGACTTTCAAATTTCAAATTGTAGTTGGTTCATTCCTTTTAATCCTTTTAGTTTTCTTATTCCATCGACTTTATGTTAATTAAAGCTGTTTCATATAGTTTTGATTTTAGGGTTTGAGTATTTTTATATATATAGTAATTATTATTACATTAAAAAATCACAATTTATCATAAAAATTTGAATTTATTAAATTTAATTTAAATATAATATT